AGTTAGAGGCAGGGTTTTTATCCCTGCCTCTACTAAAAAAAAATACAAATTAGCGGCATGGTGGGCTGCATGGGGCTATAATTTCTAAAAAAACTATTCGGGGGGGTGAGGCAGCCGAAGAAAAACTTGAACTGAGGGCAGACGGTTGCGTGAAGCAAGAGATCACGCCACTTGCCACTCTAGCCAGGCAACAAAAAAAAAAGGCAAAAACTCTGTCTCATATAAAATTATAAATAAAATAACTTTTATACATTTAAGCATTTTCTGATTAATTATTTTAAAAACTAAAAAAAAATTCAGGGGCCCATTGAGTGGCTGCACACCTTGTAAACCAGCACTTGAAGAGGATTGGCAGGTGGCCACTCGCCAGTGAGTTCGAGGACCAGTCTGGGCCAAAAACATGGTGAACTTGATCTCTATTTAAAAAAAAATTAAATAATATAGTATATTATAATATTACTATATTATATATTATATATATATTAGTCAATCAATGGAATATATAGTCAACATTGAAAAAATAAAATACACTTGGGAAACATCTTTTAAAATGTGGCTCCATCTAATGGCATCTTTTCACAGCAGGGGAGGAAGGATTGATTGATTGATTTTTAATGTTTAATGTTCGTGGGTATATAGTGGGTGTATGTGTTTATGGGGTACATGAGATGTTTTGATACAGACATGCAACGCATAGTAATCAGATCATCATGGAGAATGGGGTATCCACTCCCTCAGGCATTTTTCCTTTATGTCACAATCCAATTATACTCTTTTAGTTATTTTTAAATATACAACGTCTAATGGTATCCTTCACTTTCACCTCAGAATCCATTTTCCTCTTCCTCTTTGTTTATGCTTCGCCGGGATATTTGCTGACTTGGTCGGGCTTTTCCCTTATTCTGCTCTTTGGAGCTGCCCTCTCCCCCTTCTGTTTTTTTGCCATTTCACTCTGCATTTCAGCTGTTTTCACAAGTCTTTTGCTGAACGCGTCTATCTTTGGGACCTTTGTGTGGCCGGGAAAGGCCTGACTGGGGCAGTCAGGAATGCAGCGAGGCAGCCAAGTCCAGTTCAACACCAAGCAGACTCTCTGCCGGCCACCTCCTGCCGCTGCTATTCAGAGCCAAAGTCTGACTTGCAGGATGCAGGCCTCCAGATTCTGCCTCTGCTTCGACCACTTCTAACCCGTGGTTGACCTTTCAACCCTGACCAACCCACCTTCTCCCTCCCTTGTTTCTAAGTTCCCATCTCCCCATGGGTGGATCTGCTCCTAGGATGGGGCCCCTCCTGCAGCGGGGCATCGATACCCTACGGCTGATGAATTTTTTTGCCTTTGTTGTGCTACACTTTTTCTTTTCATGCTTCATCCAGCCGTTTCTTGTGCACAATCATAATTACTATAAACCTGTGTCAGAGAGTTAAGAGGATGGCCTCTGGAGTTAACCTACCTGGCTTCAAATGTCGGCTTCACCCCTTATGACTTGTGCATGGTCTAAGCACAAATACAAATTTTAAATGAGAGGCTTGATTCTCCCTGTTGAAAATAAGGGAAAAGACTTTTCCTCTCCCCCATCTCCCTTTTCTTTCAGAATTTCTTCTACCTGTCCTTTTCAATCTCTCAAAGATTTAGATTAAATCTTTAAAATACATGTATGTTACCTTTATGTTAAATTATTGTCATGGCTAAATAAGCCTCTTGTTATTCTTGCAATTCAGGAGGGTTTCTTCAAGGGCCTAGGGGTCACTGCTTTGAAATATAATCATCAGACTGGACGCAGTGGCTCATGCCTGTAATCCCAGGACTTTGGGAGGCTGAGGCAGGTGGATCACAAGGTCAAGAGTTTGAGACCAGCTTGGCCAACATGGTGAAACCCTTACTCTACTAAGAATACAAAAATTAGCCAGGCATAGTGGTGCATGCCTGTAATCCCAGCTACTCGGGAGGCTGAGGCAGGAGAACTGCTTAAACCCAGGAGGCGGAGGTTGCAGTGAGCTGAGATTGCGCCACTATACTCCAGCCTGGGCAACAGAGCAAAACTCCGTCTCAAAAAAAAAAAAAAAGAAAGAAAGAAAAGAAAAAGAAATATAATCATCAAAGAATATAATGCTCAATCTCTCATTGTTCTGAGCAGAGGAGCCTAACTCCCTTCTGACTTCAAATCGCAAAACGCACTCAATGTAATGGGTTCCATTTATCCACTTTGCTACACAAGACTGAGACTGCTTTCTGTCTTTGCAATCTCTTTAGAGAGTTGTCTGTGATGTGGCTCCCATCCTGGTTTAATGCTTACTCAATAATAAAATAGTTTTCTAGGCCAGGCGCAGTGGCTCACACCTGTAATCCCAGCACTTTGGGAGGCCGAGGCAGGTGGATCACCTGAGGTCAGGAGTTTGAGACCAGCCTGGCCAACATAGAGAAACCCCATCTCTACTAAAAGTAAATTAGCTGGGTGTGGTGCTGCATACCTGTAATCCCGGCTACTCAGGAGGCTGAGGTGGGAGAATCACTTGAACCCAGGAGATGGAGGCTGCAGTGAGCTGAGATCACGCCACTGCACTCCAGCCTGGGTGACAGAGCTAGACTCTGTCTCTAAAAAATAAAAAATAAAATAAAATAAAAATAGTAATAAAATAGTTCTATTTATCATCTATCTTTGTGGAGAGGTTTTCTGCACACAAGGAGATCTCATTTCTAATCGTATCTGATCTAATCTCATTCTAACAGTGGCCTCGGACAAGTCATGTAACCTCTGAAAGACTCAGTTAGCTTGATCCTAATGGGGTTGGTGTGAAGATGAAATGAGATTAGGCATAGAAAGTCTTAGAATAAGGCCAGGCGCAGTGGCTCACGCTTGTAATCCCAGAACTTTGGGAGGCTGAGGCAGGCAGATCACTTGAGGTCAGGAGTTTGAGACCAGCCTGGCCAACATGGCGAAACCTCCTCTCTACAAAAACATAAAATTTAGCAAGGCGTGGTGGCACATGCCTGTAGTCCCAGCTACTCAGGAGGCTGAGGCTTGAGAATCACTTCAACCTGGGAGGTGGAGGCCGCAGTGAGCTAAGACCATGCCACTGCACTCCAGCCTGGGTGACAGAGAAAGACTCTGTCTCAAAAAAAAAAAAGAAAGAAAGAAAGAGAAAGAAGGAAAGAGAGAGAGAAAGAAAGAAAGAAGGAAAGAAGGAAAGAAAGAAAGAAAGAAAGAAAGAAAGAAAGAAAGGGAGTCTTAGAATAAGTTCTGGCACATGGAAAGCACTTCAAAAATATGAGCTGTTATTACCCTTTTTTCATTGATTTTATGGTAGCATCATTCATTGGTTTTACATAGAAGTTCAGATTTCTTCTGCTTATTCTGCCTTAGTCTTTGGTTAGTTTTAACATTTAAATTTTGCTCGACTACCTTATTTTTTTCTCAAAAATGCAAACTTCTCTCCTGTAAGAAAGAAAAGAAAGAAAGAAAGAAAGAAAGGTATTGCTGACTGCCTAGATCTGCAAGGCTCTGCTCTGAGGCAGTGATCAGGGTTCTATTAGCCGTGTACAAAGCACACAGCCCAGAGCCTGGCCCTGAGCAGGTGCTTCCTCCTCGGCCAGCCCAGCACCCAGGGCCCTCACCTTCATAGGACCAGTTGTTGTTGAAGGTCTGTGTCAACGCCTGCATCTCCTGCAGGAGAACCGAGTCTGCCTGGGAGGAGGTTTCTCCTCCATCCTCTTCTTCCAGAACCTCCTCTTCTTCCTCAGGGTCTGGGGAGTTCTGCATCATCTCCTCAATCTCCTCAATTACCTGAAGAAGGTACACGAGAGAGTGCTAACTCTGTTCTCTGCTAGAGGGGCATTCTGGCTTCAATTTTGATCAGTCAAGGATGTTTCTAATTAGCTATCTGAAATTTTCTAAAGCAATATCATTTTTAAATAAATACTGAATAATAAAAATAGTTCCAACCAAAGGCTTGCACACACTCTTTCTTTAATGTAAAGCACTCTTTAATGTAAAACCTCTTCCAAGAGCTCCATTTAGATAAATGATTTATTGGAAATAAGCTACTCTTTCAGGAAGCAAGGCAGAGCTGCCTGGAAGGGAACATTTACTTCAATTTGCTGAGCTCTTTATTTCTAAGTGGGAAAATATTTCATTCACCCAACTTTAACACAAAACCCAGTCCATTAATTGTCATAATACATGTGACTGGAAAAAACAGTGTGCTTCTAGAACAACACAAAATGGGGAGGAAAACAGCTATTTCTCCAAAATTCACCTAGACAAGAACTGAAGCTGCCCAGCAACAAATGAAAATAGAGATAATGAAATAATAGAAGGATAGATAGAGTCTAGAGAGCAGCAAATAGATAAGAATCCCAGCTCTAATCTAGACTATTGACAGGAGCCAGCTCCCAGAAGTGGAGGGAAAATTAGATATCTGCCAAAAGGAACAAGAGTGAATTACTAGCTGGGCATGGTGGCTCATGCCTGTAATCCCAGCACTTTGGGAGGCCGAGGCAGGTGGATCACTTGAGCTCAGGAGTTCAAGACTAGCCTGAGCAACATGGGGAGACACCATCTCTGCAAAAAAAAACCAGAAAAATTAGCCAGTTGTGGTGACGTGTGTCTGTAGTCCACGCTACTTGGGAGGCTGAGGTGGGAGATTGGTTTGCACCCAGCAGGTGGAGGTTGCAGTGAACTGAGATCGGTCCACTGGACTCTAGCCTGGGCAACAGAGCCAGATCCTGTTTCAAAAAAAAGAGTGAATTACTTTGTACATTAATTATTTACAAATAAAGAAGACTGCTGCTGAAAGCAGGTCTTCAGATGAGTTTTGTCACAACCTTCACCTTTGTCTGTTCTCCATGGATGGACTAAATCTCCAAGGCCAGCACCGTAGTCTTTGAGGTGGTTTCCTCACAGTGGGCTGGACCAAAGGTAAGGGACTTCGGGATCTCCTCCTTTAGAATAATTTCCATTCTTATTCCCAAGCCTTTTCACCTCTACTCACAAACTTAGGAGATAGCCAGTCTTTGACTACTGAAAACCATTTCACAGAATGCAACCAAATGACACAAATCCCTGTCAGGATCTTATGGCTGAATGTCCCTTTCTCTAAGAGTAGTTATAATTGAGTTCATATCATTGAATTGTAGTTCCTCCTACAAGTCACAAGAATAGCTGTTAGCCCCTATTTTTAAAAATTTGGTTCTCTTTAGTCTCCTAATCTTCACCTGTTTCAATTTCCACCTTTTTATCACAGATATGAAAAAGCACCTTTGTTGCTAAAAAGCACTTTCTGGCACTGAATGCTCCCAGTGGAGCTTTGCAGAAAGACTTTGTGGAAACTTGTGTAGTGTTTAGCTCAAAATAAGCACCCATAAATATTTGTTGACTAAAACATTGAATAAGGAATCCGGAAACTGAACATTATCCTCTCTAAGTAATAAATTATTAAAGCTATGATGATCTCAGTTGAATGCGAAGCACTCTATCTTTTTTCACAAAGCCAAAGTGGCTCTACGACTCCTTTTGGAAGGCTCAAAATTTTGAGTGTTCTATGAAATGTAAGAAAATACCCATCACACAAAAGCCTCAGCTGTCACTTCTCTTTTTGGAAAAACAGGTGTTTGGGACCCTTATTTAAGCGTCTTGACTCCAAGTACAATGAATTGCAATACGAAGGCTTAGCAGGAATCGAAGCTACTAAACACTATGCCTGTCTCTGGCTACTATCAGAGACTGACCCCAACTATCCCAAGTGTCAAGAATGACATTCATGTTCACTGCAGGTGGGCAACCTGAGGCAGAAAGAGAAATGAAATCCCTTATCAAAAATACTCTGAGTTGGACAGGCACTGTGGCTCATGCCTGTAATCCCAGCACTTTGGGAGGCCAAGGCGGGTGGATTGCTTGAGTCCAGGAGTTTGAGACCACCCTGGGCAGCATGGTGAAACCTCATCTTCACTAAAAGTACAAAAAATTAGCTGGCCATAGTGGTGCATGCCTGTAGTCCCAGCTACTTAGGGGCCTGAGGTGGGAGTATCGCTTGAGCCAGGGAGGTTGAGGCTGCAGTGAACCCTGATTGTGCCACTGCACTCCCACCTGGGTGACAGGGTGAGACCCTGTCTCAAAATGAAAAAAAAATAAATAAATAAAGCCAGGCATGGTGGCTCGTGCCTGTAATCCCAGCACTTTGGGAGACTGAGGCAGGTAGATCACTTGAGGTTAGGAGTTTGCGACCAGCCTGGCCAACATGGTGAAACTACATGTCTACTAAAAAAAATTTATAAAAATTAGCCAGGCATGGTCATGCATGCCTGTAGCCCCAGCTACTTGGGAGGCTGAGGCAGGAGAATCACTTAAACCCGGGAGGCAGAGGTTGCAGTGAGCCAAGATCACGCCACTGCACTCCAGCCTGGGTGACAGAGCAAGACTCTGTCTCAAAAATATATATATAAAGAAAAAAAGAAACAAAAAATACTCTGAGCCATCAGCACAGGCGTCACATGACCACATATCTTTCTTCTGCCTTAAACGGATGTAGCAAGTGTGTTCTTTTTTTTTTTTTTTTTTTTTTTGAGACGGAGTCTCGTGCTGTGTCACCCAGGCTGGAGTGCAGTGGCGCGATCTCGGCTCACTGCAAGCTCTGCCTCCCAGGTTCACGCCATTCTCCTGCCTCAGCCTCCGAGTAGCTGGGACTACAGGCGTCCGCCACCACGCCCGGCTAGTTTTTTGTATTTTTAGTAGAGACGGGGTTTCACCATGTTAGCCAGGATAGTCTCGATCTCCTGACCTCGTGATCCACCCGCCTCGGCCTCCCAAAGTGCTGGGATTACAGGCTTGAGCCACCGCGCCCAGCCGCAAGTGTGTTCTCTTGAACTTTTTCTCCATCAAAAGAACGAAAGGTCCCAATAACCTGGAGAGATACTCATACCTGATCTGCTGTGAGCAGAGGCTCCTCGTTGATACCAGAATCATTCTCGCTCTTCTCATTGAATTCTTCCTCTTCTTTCTCATGGATCTGGAGAGGAGGTGGGGAGATGGAATTCTGGGTGACTGTCAGCAGAAGTGGGATTGCCTCTAGTCTCAAGAATGGATGATACTGACTGGGAGGCCACTCCAGCCAGCTGCTGTCTAAACAGTGGAGCTGAAGAGGTGTCCAGAGTTTCATCCAATTCCAAACATATCTTTGCCCCATCACTGACTCCAGCTTGCCAGAAATCCAGCATGCTGCACTGAATACAACTTGGCAGGAAAAGATGATAGGGGCGTGGCCAGCACCATTCTGACTCAAAGGGAATAGCACTGTTTTTTAACCCAAAGACAGGTCATCCTGGGGTGAACAAGGCTCCTTCTCCAGGTAAGTGACACTGCCACAAACTGCAGCAAAGGTGCCCTGATTTTGTTAAGGAGTTCCAACCTGGGGGTTTGTTTCCAGATTTCGTGTTACTAGGCATTTTAAGGAATAGGTTGTTCTAGTCCAAATAATGATGACTTTCAGAATTTGATGAAATGCCATCCTGTTACTGGAATCCAGGCGTGATATCATAGCTGATGGCAGATGTAAATCTACCTGGGACATGCCACTGAATAACCTGACCGCATGAACTAAACAACAACAAAACTATGAAAGAGAAACCCATTTATCTCATTTGCCCTGTGTCTCTATAATTCCATAATCCCAAGTAAGATTCTCAAAGTTCACAGCCATCAGAATTCTAGATGTTCAAATCTAACAAGATAGTCAAAGCATATCTGGCTCAACTGACCATATCCCAAACTGCCATAGTCTGGCACTTACATTTGTCCCACAGAAAAATTAATCCCTGAACACCTCACAAGCTGTATGTCTAGAAGTCTGATTTGAATGTCATCCAAGGGGGAGGCAGGAGGTGTCTCTAGGAAATCTCTCTGCTGAGTCACCTCTCATCCAGGAATGAATCCTCCTTGCGCTCCAGTAGCTGGCACACTGACTGGCCCCTTCCCTGGGGCTTGTATTCTGCCTTTTCTAACAGGAAACAGCCGAGCGCCAATCCAAGCAATCATGTCAGAGGTAGCTATCCTCAGAAACTTCTCCCGTCTTCTGTGAGCTCTGCCTTGGCAGACATCCCAAACAGAGCACATCGCCTTTTATCTCCATTTGCTTAAAACCAGGACTATGTCATTAAAAAAGAAAAAAAATTAAGCAAATATATCTTAAATGCCACCCGTGCTCAACCTAGATATGGGGTAGGACAGGGAGGTAATGGAATCATCTGAAGGTCCGTGTACCAGATGGTGACATCTATTTCCGCTGTCAAACCCATATGCTCCTCTCTCTGCCAAGTCCACCACCTGCGGTAGCCTCGTGGTTTCCACCGCTCCCCACTATGCAGAACAAAACTCCTGGAGCTACACTTTGTTCACAACTACACTCACGTGGAAGAACTTTCTTCAGGCCAGAAAGTCCTGCAGTAGAAGTTAGCCCAAAATTAAGAGAACAAAGATACATTTTTTCCTCCAGATCAAAATTAGGGGAGAAAAAGGAAGAAATTTATCAATATGTTCCCAGCCCAAGTTAGTGTGAGCCCAAGTTAGGCTCATCCTGGGAAACGGGTTTATTTTTTATAAGCATCTAACAGCAACTGTTAGTCTATAATCAGGATTTGGCAGGGGGTGGGGGGCGGTGGGCACTAAGTCTATATAAAAATGGCATGTTTACATTTTCTGAAATGTGGCTGATTTTAGTGGGTTTAAATCCCTGACTGTTAATATTGCTTCTTTCAACTACACCATCTCCTCCTCCCCCAAGGTCCTCACTCCCTGGGGAGTTCCAGAAAGAAAGCAGGGATGAAGCTTCTAGGGATAGATCCTTCTTGCTGCCCAAATGCTAATAAGCCTGGACTGTGGCCGGAATGATGCACTGGTAGAGCTTCCCTCCCCTCCCCCTCTCAGACACAAAGCCTCCAGGTCTGAATTGTCAGGCTTGGGAAAACAGAGATGGGAAAATCAATTATAAGCTTATGAAAGGTACTGTGAGTTCCTACTATTATGGGAACCATGCTCATCCCTTGTTTTCTTATTTCTCAGAAGTCTGCCACTAAAAAATAAAATAAAAGGAGAGGCATACACAAAATACTGCCAAGAAAACCCTGGCTCCTTCCCTCTATGTGTAGATTACCCCCTAATCCTTGGGCTTCCCCACCTCCATCGTGCCCCAGCCTCTTCTCCTCCCTCTCCAGTGTTTGATTCTGATCCTCTCACCCTTCCCACCCTCCCTAGATCTGGTTCCCACATTTTCTGTCCATCCTGCTAGACTTTGCTCTGTTCCAACAGCATCCATCACTTCTGCACAAGCCTTCACCTCTTTACAGGCACTGTTTACAGACTCCCTCCCTCCCCTCCTTGACCAGGACAGTATCCTGTGCACAGCGTGGAGAGCTGGAGGGGAAACAACGAAAGGGGGACAAAGAAAGGTTTTTGAAAACTGACAGCCCTTGTGCATATAAATACTGTTGATCCTAACATAAGACACAGACATAGAAATTGTGGTAGAGAGTTCCTTTAGTCCCTTGTGTGGCAGTGGGGAAGCTACCTGTCAAAAATAACTTCAGGCCAGGTCATGTGGGGTTGAATTTCCTTGTCAGCTAAAACTGCTAGTTGTTACCAGGTGTGGTGGCTCACACCTATAATCCCAGCACTTTGGGAGGCCGAGATGAGAGGATTGCTTGAGTCCAGGAGTTCGAGACCAACCTGGGCAACATGGCGAGACTCCATCTCTACAAAAAATAGAAAAATTAGGCATGATGGCACACCTGCAGTCCCAACTACTCAGGAGGCTGAGGTGGGAGGATCAATTGAGCCATGGAGATGGAGACTGCAGTGAGCCGTGATTATGCCGCTTCACTCCAGCCTGGATGACAAAGTGAGATCCTGCCAAAAAAAAAAAACAAAAAAACAAAAAAACTTGCTAGCTGTTTGGATACTATTGAAGTGAACCATGCTCTTCCAAGAAAAGTCATTCTTCCAAATGACTTCTTCCCAGAACTGAGAAGATTTGAATCCAGAAAGGGGTCTGGCCACACCATTCAGCAGGCTGTTTCTACTGAGAAGATTTGAATCCAGAAAGGGGTCTGGCCATACCATTCAGCAGGCTGTTTCTACTGAGAAGATTTGAATCCAGAAAGGGGTCTGGCCATACCATTCAGCAGGCTGTTTCTACTGAGAAGATTTGAATCCAGAAAGGGGTCTGGCCACACCATTCAGCAGGCTGTTTCTCCCTCCTGCTTTTGGTGACAGTGTGCCTCTAGGACTATAACATGAAAGCTTAAAACTTGAAAAGAAATGCAGAGAACCTTCCCTGAGGCCTATAACATTGCTAAATCTTGCTGCACAGTAAAGTATTCTGAATGATGATTAAAATTATGTGGAGTCCTTGATTCCAACAAAGACTATTAACCAGTGTATTTTATTAAAGTGTTTCAAATGACCCCATTCCTAGAAAAGGTAATTTTTACAGCACATTTAGCCCTTTGCATAATATTTTCCTCCCCTTACCACTATTGTTTGACATGAGTGGTTGCCCCCGACAAAAATTAAGAGAACAAAGATACATTTTTACCTTCAGACAAAAAGTAAAAAAAAAAAAAAAAGAAAGAAAGAAATTCACCACAACTGTGTCCCATTCTTTTTTTTAGACACAGGGTCTCACTCTGTCACACAAGCTGGAATGCAGTGGCACAATCATGGCTCACTGCAGCCTCGAACTCCTTGGCTCGAGTGATCCTCCTGCCTCAGCCTCCCAAGTAGCTGGGACTATAGGCAGGTGCCACCACACCTGACTAAGATTTTTTTTGTTTTAAATTTTTTTAGAGATAGAGATCTCACTGTGTTGCCCAGGATGGTCTCAAACTCCTGGCCTCAAGCAATCCTCCCACCTCAGCCTCTCGAGTGGGATTACAGGTGTGAGCCACTATGCCTGGTAACTATGTCCCTTTTATGCTTATGAACAACCAGGAAACATCTGCGTGGATTAAGTCAATGGCTGTGCATTCCCACAGGGAGATGCACCAGGGCATGCAGCCAACACATATTTGTTGAAAGAATTAATGAACGATTGAAAAAGAGAGGACTGAGAGCAGTACTATCATCTAGATTCAGTCCACTTCCACAGGTAACTTAGCTATTTAGTCACCTGGAAAAGAGGAAGACATGACTGGGTATGGTGTCTCATGCCTGTAATCCTAGCAATTTGGGAGGCCAGGGTGGGAGGGTCACTTGAGCCCAGCCTGGGCAACATAGAAAACTCTGTCTCTACAAAAAAATGAACAAAATTAGCCAGGCATGGTGGTGCACACCTGTAGTCCCAGCTACTCGGGAGACTGAGGTGGGAAGATTGCTTGAGCCAGGGAGGTGGAGGCTGCGGTGAGCCATGACTGTTGCCACTGTACTATATAGCCTGGGTGACATAGTGAGATCTTGTCTCAAAAATATGAAAGACATAATTCACTGTCCTGGATTTCCAATTTCCTCTTATCCAGACAACCACCGTCTGCTATTAAATAAAGGTTATAAGGTAAAAGGGGACTGCGTTTTACATCACAGGAACAGAATAGATTGATAAATTGAAAGCCCCAATAAAAGTGGTAAGTTGTGAGAAAAATAATAATGACTCCTACAGACTTATTAACTCAAGCAAATTATTTTGACCTAAAAATGTAAATGTACATTTATTTATTCACCAAGTTCCTAGTGTAAGACCAAGCTTACAATGAAACTCTGAGGAGAGTTTCACAGTCTCTCTTGCACCATCCACATAATAACTTCTTTTTTTTTAAACAGTCTCACAATATCACCCAGACTGGAGTCCAATGACATGATCGAAGTCCACCGCAACCTCCACGTCCTGGGCTCAGGCAATTCTTCCACCTCAGCCTCCCAAGACCATAGGTGCACACCACCACTCACGGCAAACTTTTTCATTTTTTTGTAAAGAGTGAGTCCAGTACTCCCTCTTTATCTTTACCCAGGCTGGCTTCTAACTCCCAGGCTCAAGTGATCTTCCTACTT